TTCTACTTTTCCGACTAGAAATTGGTATGTTTTGACTCTTTCGACTGAAATTCGATATATTTCGTTTTAATGCTCGACGTGAAGTTGCTTCTCGACCGCGGAATTTTAGTCGCAAAACTGCACTTGCTCGATTTTCGAAGTCGAAACATAAGTCCAGCACCTCGACCCGGGATGTAATTTTAGTAAAAGATGCTAATTTTCAACTAGGGCAGTTTGTTCATTCGAACAAAATTTGGCAATAAATAACAATAGTCTTCAATATAAAAACTTTATACCCCATGAAAACATGTACTCTCCGATTCAAAAAAAAAATTTCTACCTGCAATCATTTAAAAAAATAACTAGAATTCAAAAAATAAACTTTTTGACTCTATTTTAGACTAATCTAGGCGGGGCTTCTTAAAGTTCATCTACAATTACGAATAAGTAAGCGCTAAACCTTAAATTGAGGTGAATTCTCCCGCACTCAAAATTATTCCAAAATGATTTGAGGCCAGCTTTTTGGTCATAATAGTTCCCTATGCGACTGAAAAGAAGAACATTTAAAATAAAAATTTAGCCATTGTAGAAGAAAAAAACATTTAGTTCAAAAATTCACTTCAACAAAATGTTCTTTGCCACAAGCATTATTCAAGATTTGCAAGTTTCCGGTTTTGCTTTGATTCAAACAGTTTTTTGGTTCCAAATTTTGAAACAATATAAGCTCCGTGTAAGCTCAGTTTCCAAAAAAAAACTGTTTTTTTCACTAGTCATTTGACGGGATTTTTTCTGTATCAACTGAAAGCTGTGAATATCCTCTGAAATATTATAAAGGTTTGAAAGAGGCCAGTTTTCATAAATTGGACCTTCAGTCGACCACCTGTCGACTCGTTTGTACTATTTTGAGACCTCCATTTTTGGCTGTTTTCTAAAAACGTCTTTGGCACCAAAATATACTAATTTTAATTTTGAGGGGTGAGCGCGCGCCGAAAAAAAACCAATTTTTTGGTCAAAATGCTCCAAAAAGTGCCTAAAAACGCTTTTTTGGCCTTTTTTTCAAATTTTGCTTGCCGTGCAGACAATCTGGTCAAATTAGGCTCTTTATAGTGATTTTATAGAGCTTAGAAAATCAATTTGGTCGACCTTAATAAAAAAAAGACATTTTTTTTTACAAAATGCACCCCTTAAATAGCTGTATAGTAAAAATATCATTTTACATTAAATAGTGTAACAGCGTCAGGGCATATTTTAGAAAATTATTAGAAAAAAATTCTGATTTTTCTTGAATCGAACGCTACTCCGTAATTTTAAAGAGCAGCCGGAACATTCAGGGCGTCACCCTGATACGAGCAATCCTGTTTAATGGAAGCACGCCAAAAATGGTCAAAAAATGTTAGAAAAAACTTCATGCGAACTCCACTATATGTGTGCCTTGAGTTTTTTGAAAAATCATTGTTGGCGATAGTTCTCTTTATTTGTTTGATTATTACAAAAACAAAACACTAGAAAATTTTAACTTTATACAGTTTTGCAATGACTCGGGAATAGTTGCATTTTTCCTATTCTCGTAATAAACCGGGGCAATTATATTAGTTGTATGGCGTTTTCATCTGAAAATTATTCTCGATAGCAGAGGAAGTGGTTATTACAAACCACTTCAAAGTCATGCCAACTACAAAAAATTAGACTAATTGTTCAAATAGCTTTTAAATATGTAGAAAGCGGTCATAATTGGCAATGAAAATGTTTTATATTATTATTCAACAGGCTGAAAAAGCAGATTATGTTCTGATAAAACTGAGTTCAGATATAATTTTAGTTTAAAAAAACGGATACATTTTAAAACAGATCTAGACTTGGGGAAACAAGCAGGACCATGTACAGTTTTTCCGTCATTTTTTTCGATACTTGGAGCAAACATTTAGTCAAATAACAAAATAGTTCTCATCATACTTGCAAATAATGAGAAGAAAACTTGAGTGAAGTTCCATCGAACTCAAAGACCCATCCTGTTGTTCGAACTAGGAAAATTTAACATTTTTAAAATTTAATTACTGAAAAAAACTAACCCAGCTAATTTCACAGAGGCGGATTTGAATGTAGGATACTTTCTTTCCTTCTCGAGCACACAACTCCGTAACCATCATTGAAAATACCAGGCCGCACTGAAAGAAGAACACAAAAAGGCGGCACTCGTGCCAATTTTTTTAGAGAGACCCAGAAAATGTTGCCAATTTAAGGTCTTCATTTTGTTTTGTTTCTTTGGGGGAGTCAAAAGTTCAATTTTGTGAACCTATGAAAAACAACTATGAAAAAACCTATGCATAAAATTCCAATGATTAAAGCACGCGCGTCCTCACCATAAATCCTGAAAAAGCGCCCATAATTTTATTTTACTAGGCACTGCTGGTCACAATTAAATCTAATGAGTTTTACGCATCCCGGGGTTGACATCCGAACAAAAAATATTTTATTTATACAATTTCACACGTGGAGCTAACGAAAAAACACTAGTCAAAAGTTTTCGTTAAAGATTGCTTGTCATACAATTTCTTATTATTACAACTGTTTGACTCCTGGATGGGCGTCGCAAAAATAATTATTCCTTATTCAGGCACTGATCAGTGGCCATTTATCCATGATCAGGACAAAAACATAGATAAACTCCAAAATAGCGTTGAAACATCTCTGAATCAGCGCTGAAAATCCCAGCTCTGAATTACTGCTGAATCATCTGTGAAACATCACTAACTCTTAGAGCTAGCGATCAATTATCTCTGAATCAGCGTTGGTTTTTGGAATTATATCGTCACATTTAACTATCTTTGGTGCAGTGCTGCACCTTACCAAGATCCGTAGATTTGCAGATGTGATTCATAGTACCTTGCTGAATCAGGGATGACTATCTCTGATAGGGCAACCCAGGCTAGCATTTTAAAAAATTTTGGTAATTTCAAAATTGGGGAAAAACTTTAGTTCTTTTTAGGCGCAAAAACAATTCTAGGCACAAATAAACCATTTTGAAGAAAAAAAAACATTTTAAATGCAAAAATGAAAATTTTGTCTATAACCTAGTCCAAGCACAGTTTTTTTCACAAACAAAAATTAGAATTCTAAGCTGTTTGTGCGAAGAAAGTATTCTTTTTTGTTTTATGTAGTCAGATATTTTTAAGTTCTGTCAAAAACAACAAGGCACGATTTACAAACACTCAATTTTCCAATTTTGCAAAAAAAAAGCTTTCAGCCCTACAAAAAAAATTTGAAAAAACTGTTTATGAAATAAAAGAAGTATTTCACATGGTAAATATACAACTGAGTTTATCAATTTTATAGGCTGAAACGCTAGTTTCACCAGTGTGAAAATGTATGACGTTTTTTTAATCAACCTGGGTTTTTACTCCAATTATTTCACAAATTAGGAAGCAATGACATTAAATTCATCATGTAATTTCAGGTATCTAAAACTCTCGGAGTGAATCGAGCAAGTGTAGCATCAGTTTTGCTACTTTTAGAAAAACTTGTAATATCAATTTTGAAAAACTACCTATTTAAAACAGTCTGAACACAAATTAGTTTTTGCTATCCAAAATAATCTATCAATTTTTCTGCTAAAGTAGTGAATGAGTCAATCAGTTCAAGTCTGATTTTTCAGAACTTTAATCATGTTTAAGCTAAATTTATCTAATTCTTCAGGTTGATTGTTAAGATCCTCTCGCTAGTTTTCTTTTGTTAATTTTTGTTCAACTGACTCTTTTAAGGAATTACGAGAGGGAACTATAACATCATAGGATGAGTTTTTCTACCCAAATTTAGATAACTCGCCGAAAATTTTAGCTGACAAATCAAATGTGTCATGATTTAACTTGTAACTTGCAGGGTTTTCTGGGACACGTCTACCCATTGAGGTCAAGACACATTGCTTGAATACTCTCTATTTGATAGCAAGCGGAGCTACTCGTCCGTGTCCAGAAGTTTTTTGATGATGGCTCTCAACCCTAGCCACATCATGAGTAAAATATTTTTTGTTTAATAATTCGATGCTGGTTTTTGGCTGTAAATACGAAATTGTCCCAGATCCTACTGACAAAATAAAGGATATGAATTAATGACAGTTTCGAGGAGTTCGTCGTTGCAACTAATGTTGGCTGTCTCGTCGCATATCATCCCGTGTTTTTCTTATATTAGCATTCACTTAAAGGCCTTTGCACTTTAAAATTCTATTGAGCCCCCGGTTTGTGGCTTTTGAGGATAGTCTTTGTGCAGACCTTTCTCATTTCAAATTTCCAACTTCATTTTAAGTATATCACCCTGTGTCTAGTTGATTGTCTATTGCCGATGTACAAATGGCCCTGTCCGTTTTCATACAAACAGAAACTGTGAAAGGACGGAGAGATCCTTGGCGAGCGCCTGTCGAGATGCTAAGCTCCTTCGACTTGCAGTTGGGGGCGCTGACTTACCACCGGGTGTAATAACAAGTAATCAATTAGTTTTAAAGTGTATGCTAACAAATACACTTGAGAGAACATCAAAGGCTCAAACAGCTCAATGCGGTTTTCGGTCAAACCCAGTTCCAATTTGATTAAGAAAATTGATGGGTCGCCATTGATGAATTTTTAATTCCAGCATTTGGCCTGAAAGTAATGAATCAATGTTTTAGGGAACTTTTACGTTATGCTCGTGATCCTAAGTTATGCGAGCATACAATTTGTTCTTCACTTTTTAACCATCGGGGTTGCATTGAAAAATGAAGGCTTAAAGAGCCTTCGACTAGCATATTTGATTTTGTCAGATAATATCCAAAAAAGATGGAAGGTTTTGAGTTTGCTATTAAAAGCAACCTTTATCTAGGAATCCTTTATTTCTGATAGCAATCATTTTATGGGCTGCACAGAATATTGAAGTTTTCCGGTTAAAACTACATTCTAATGACAGCAACAGAAGCAGGGCAGTCTGGATTTCGAAAAAAAAATTATCCAGTGAAAATTTATTTGAAAGAAATTAATATTCTATGAAATTCTTACCCAGACAAACTGGTCCGCTGAACTGGATGAGCTTACACGACAAAGCAGCAGGGACAAATATCCAGTCGTAATGAATATTATATATAGCCAGAGTGGCCGTGTTTAGGATTGTAGTGAGCACGTCGGAAGTTGCCAGATTTAGAATGAAGTAGTTCGTATGAGTTCGGAGGCTCCTTTTGGACAGAATGAGCCACATCATGGCAGAGTTTCCGACCAGAGAGACTGCACACTGCACGCTGAACATGATATACGCAAACGCCGTCTCGAACTGAAAAAAGGAAATGTTTAGGGAATATTCTAAATTTATAGCAACAAAAAGAATACTCGTTTATAAGGGCAGAGCCCTGAACGTTCCAATTGCCACTTGATTGGCATCTAATAGTTTACAAAAAACAAATTGAGCAAATCAAACATCAAGTGTGAAAAGCTTGTCTCAATTCAATTTGGCACAATTTTATAGAGGGGGGATTTATTCGCAATAAATAAAAAAAACGATTCCATGAAAATCTACCCTACTCTAATATACCATATGCCATTCTGTTC